CAGAAATTATAATATATACATTTGCAATATGGGATTAGAATAATTAAAGAAGAATTAATCAACATTAGATATGCCATCCAATGGGCAAAAGTAAATAATTTGAAATCCTTGATATTAAGTAAAGAAGAACTCGAATTATCAATTAATAAACTAAAAGAAGAAGAACTACCATTTAAGAGTGCCGAAGAAGCACTAGAATTATCAAAGGTAAATGTTTTAAATATTGAAATGAAAATTTTGTATATGGTTAAAATACCGCTAACAATTAAAGAAACTTTGAAAAAAATAATTATAAGACCTGTGAAAAGGAGAAATAATACTGTAATTAAAATTGAATACAAAGAAATATTAAAAGGAAAGTATTCAATCTTCGGAATAAAAAATTAATTTGAAAAATATAACAATATATCAATATCTAAAGAAATGAATTTAGTAGATTTAAGTAAAAATTTATGTGTAAGTAGAATTATTTATAGTTTGAACTCAACTTGTTCAAAAACAAATGGCCACCACGTTCTTACATTAGAAGAAGTCAAAGGAGTAATATTGCTAAATCAATTTGTCGGCAAGCTAGTAGCTGATGAAATGTCCCAAAGAATTAATGGTACTCATGTTATTATTGTATATTCCATAATTCAACAATTAAAATAGACAACCAACAATTCAATAATATTTAAACCGAAACGATCGAAACTATCTCCGAAATTATTCAGCCTATCCCATTAGAAACAGATCATATAGAACTCCTCTCCTTAGAAGCACTAAAAGATCTGCATATCAAAAACGCAGATGAAATCTAATCTATTAAAAAGGATACATTTTCTTTCGGAGGCCTAACAATGGCAGTAATTCCAATAGTGATACTAATTATCTTCATTATTACGAAACGTTCCACAAAAATCCAGTATGTGGAGAAGGAAATTATAAAGCCAGTGCAAACTAAAACGAACCAAGAAGATGCACTGACATATGCTACGAGTCACACTCCAACATATTATATGTAAGTTTCAATGTCTTACCGTTCTATTAATGATAGCGGACGATCATACTTGAGGGGGGAAGAGTTAACTCCACGGCTTACAAAAGTTCCACCAGGGTGACTTTTACAATGGTAAACTCTTTTAAACGCGCATCCGCTGACACTTCAATATTATTTGAGTAAGACAGTCAGCAAACAATCAACAACTTTTAATAAATAACAGTCAGCAAGATTAGCAATAACAACAAATAAGGCGCACACGGAAGTTCAACGGAAGTAATTTTAAGTTGAGCAATTTATTGTAATTAATCTTAAGTTTGGATTCAAATAAAGTGGAGCATGAGCGGACAAGAGTCCGCCAGCGCTTTTTTTTTTAAATTAAACAAAAATTTAAAGCTTTAACTTGTACAAACATGTATGTACATATGTAATTCTTATAAATTTTTAATTGTACCTATTAGTATTTGATGAGGCATAATAAAATATTAAATTTTTTAAATATTATTTATTTTGGGAGGTAAATATCGAAACAAGTCAAAATTTATTCATACAGTCATTTTAGCGTATGAGCGTACGTACATAAGTACATATGTATTGTAGTAAGTACGCATGCACGCATGCAAATATGTATTTACGTGTATATACATAAATTTCTATGTGCGAGTGTTTGACTTCAGCTCAACTTGAATTTCTGAATTTCGCTAACTTTGTCGTTTATGGGAGCCTGATAGAAGGGAAAAGAATGGGCAAATTTTTGTGGACGTATATGTTTTTCATATATACACACACACACACATTGAATTCTTTACATACATGTGTCTCAAACCTCAGACCAACTTGAATTCTGATTTTTCTAAATTTTTGTGGTCATTCGAAAAAGTCGTTTGCGGGCGGATGGTTGACAGAGGGATGGGCATGCGCATATTTTAGATTGTGTGCGTTTTTCGTATACATATTAAAATGCTTGAATGTATGTGTTTTTATTTTGTCGCAAGTTCAACATCAATTTCTAACTTTTGACAAAATATCTAATTGTTTGAGGTGAAGGGAACGAAGGGAAAGGGATCGCACAAGGCATATAGGGAGCTTTTAATGTATGCTTATGCGATTATTGCTCAACTTAAATAATATTTGATCTTTGGCAAAATTAGACTACGTCTTCAAAAAACTGTTTGTTGATGAAGAGTCGAAGGAAAGGGGGTTGCAAGTGTATTGTTTTGGTTGTTTTTACCTTCTTCTTCTTTTATTTCGTGAACAAAACGTCAAATATTTAGAATTGTAGGATTTTGTAATCTTCGTCAAAATTCAGCTTATAGCACAAGGGCGCATGCGGGAAGGCAATGAAATTCTTGCTGGGTAATATGAACAAGTAGTAGCAAATTTAGCAGGACGATGCCGATTTGCTTAGGCGATTTTATTTAACTCTGCCAAAATGTAAAGCAATGCTAGCAGAGGACGTTCATGCCGCAGAATTGTTACAGGACTTTTTATATTCGACTATACTATGTGCACAGAGTATTAGATTTTTTCTGCTAACAGTTCAAAAATAATTGAAGTACATATAGACCCTACGTAAAAAACTTCATGGAATAATGAGAGAAATAAATTTAGGAATGTCTGTCTCTCCGCCTCTATACTTGATAGCTCGAAAAGAATCTAAATGTTGTAAACAAAGTGGCATACAACTATCAGCCGAGTATCTATTGTTCGGTTCCACTCGAGTTTATTCTTCCTTTCATGCTTTTGCTTGCGACCGTCACGATGTGAAGCAAATGTTAAGACTACCCAACTACCCAACTCACGTACCAGCCGTCCATAACTGGCGACGTCAAGGCGAGACACATACACGAGTTATTTCTATTGTACAGCGCATGCGTTTATGAATGAAAACTTTTTCAAATGGAAAAATGTGAGTTTCTGCATGTGGATAAAATTCAAAAATATTGATTTATTTTGGAAAGTGCTTGTGTATTGCGAAAACAGAGAAACGTATTTTTTCTTATACTAATGTGATTGCATGCGTAAGTCTCTTTCTCAAAGTTTTCAGGAGAGCAGTTTAAAAGTTCAGCCTTTCATATGTCTCCAACCAAATTTCGATAGGTTTTATTAAAAATATTTTCCGTTCTAATAGGAATACAACTATGAATTACAAGTATAATGCAGATATTGACCTGCTGAAAACGATAGTGAGGATATTTCAATTTCGTAATATAATAAGTTGAGTTAGGAGTACAAATGTACATGTGCAAAAATTAAAATGCCGTCGGCAAAATTTGCGATATCCTCGTTATTTTTATCAATGTTATCAATTTACATTCTGTTTAAAAAGTATCATACTGTTACGCTCAATCCTGTTAATTAACAGCAAGATTTGCGAAGCGAAGTCATCGTGCTTTTTGACAATTTCCACTCTAATCCGTACTTGCACTTTCTCTATGTTATACGATCTCTGGTTTTGCGTACTTGTATGTGTATCGACAATTTCAATGAAAATTTGTTTGACAAAATTTTGTAAAAGTAATTGATTGAATTGCTTTTTAATAAAGAAAAATAAATAAATGAGTGAAATATTGCATCTGCAGTTGTGGCTTTTATGTTTCTGGAAGAAAGCAGTGGTGAAAAAGTTAAAATAAAAATTTTGCGATAATGCAACAACCCACTTGAGCTGCCCAATACAGCATAAGTACATTTATTTTAATTTTAGGACTTGTTAATGCTTTTAGTGTATTTGCAGTTTTATAGCACATTATCGACTAAATAAAGAGGCTTTCCGAATGGTACTTGATACCACTGAATGCCAGCAGCTAAATTACGATTTTTGGGTGAAGGATCTTATTAAAGATCAGTTGGGAATGATTCTAGCATTGGTAGGTAGAAGCACAAAGTCAACGATTTTGGATGATGTGCTTACAGTTACAGATAAGTTAATTTGTCCGCATTGGGTGAAACTTGAAATAGACTTCAACGAAAAGTTCAGATCGAGGGACTATTTTTACATCTAGGTTTTTGGGAGATTCCGGATATCGCATAGAACCTTTTTTAATTACTCCATATAGATATCCACTTTACAATTCCAACGAATAAAAATTTAATTTGGCTCATTCTTTAGGTCGAAATATTGTGCTGAAAGGGCGTTTTCGCTGCTTATTAAGTACTTTGCATTATCGGCCAGAAAATGTTGTAAGAATTGTGAATGTCTGCTGCGTGCTACATACCATCTGCAGATGGTACCACGTAAAATAAACGTAGAACAAACGATTAGACAACCTACCAAGACCATCAAGAAGAGAGCGTTTTTTCATAAATTAAATTAGAATTGTATTTTGTGTTGAATTTTTATGTTTTCCCCTATTTCAAATAAGAATATAAGATAATTAATATTTAATATTATTAAGAATCATCATTTACTCACATTTCTACTTAATTTGTTACCACAGGTGGAAAAAAACGTTTACACAAATCAAATCCATTAGCGGCAAGTTACTTGGATTGTTTCCAATAAAAAATTCGATAATTTTGGTTTCTCTGACACCTAAAACCGATTCGAACATAAAACCAGTAACAGCTGATCTCATGACATCAAAGCAATTTTTTTGTCTGTTTCAATTCAAATTCCGAAAGCAATTGGATTCCATGACAGCCCTGAATTATTAATGGCGTTCACCGTCGTTGTTTGCTATTCTATGCTCTTCACTTGCTCTACCCTCATTGCCTGTACGCTCAAATTTTCGCACGCGCCAAAACAATAACAAAACTAACAGGCTCAGTTCTGTTTAAGGGGATTGCTTGCTCTCTTAAGGCAAGACGTAATAGCCTATTTCCACCAAGCACTTAAATGCATTTAATGCCTCTGTTAAGTGTATGAAATGTCAAACGTTTCCACCGAAAGTGAGTTAACTCAAACAGCTGATTTTTGTTTACATTTGAAACTTGAAAAATTTGTCATAAGTATTGAAATCATGAATTCAAGAGACCGTATTCATTTTATTTTGCTATTTATACAATGTTATGATTTGCAAGTGCAGATTATTGCTGCACGAGCAGATGCTGCTGAGACAAAAGTGCTTTTTTGTATGTTTACAACTTTTTTGGAGATTGCACGCAATTTTCTTTTAGTTATAAAAGAATAAAGGGCAAAAAGAAAAAGTCCACTTATTTGGAGAAAGGTATGTACATATTATTATTATCTAATCATAATTGTAATTATTTTAGTGGTGTCCCTTAGGAACGAACGAGCTTATTTTGGGAAAAGGAGTGCCAAGAATGTAGCGATTTAGATTTCAAGAACATCTTCCGCTTGGAAAGGCGGTCCTTCTTCGAATTGTGTGACATTTTGAAAAGTATCGGAAAAGAAGATACCAATTACCGCAAGGCTATTACCCTTGAAAAGCGTATCGCTATTGCGCTATATGCACTTGGTTCCTCTGCAGAGTACCGAACAGTTGCAAGTTTGTTCGGTGTGTCCAATTCTAGCGTATGCAGAATTGTTAGAGAATTTTGTGCTGCGGTTTGGAATGCTTTGAAACCTAATTATCTGAATTATTTTCCATTAAATGAGACGGTGGCTCAGAATATTGTAAATGATTTTAACAATATGGGATTTCCACAATGCATTGGAGCGTTAGGTATGATGAGATGCAAATAATATTGAGATTTATATTAATATAAATGTGTATATGTACATAAATAAAATTAGATGGATGATATTGAAGTCAAACCAAAAAAAGAGGACGCTGTGGACTACTACAACTATAAAGGATGGTATTCTGTGGTGCTGTTGGCTTTAGTTGACTCAAGGTTGGCAAATCTTTAACTTACTTAAGTAATAAAATAGATTTCAATTTGTATGTAGGTATAGGTTTCTATATATAAATGTTGGCAGTCCAAGAAGATGCAACGACTCTGGAATTTATGAAAGTTCCTCATTAAAAGCAGAACTATTGCGTTGCAAGTTGCTTTATGATCAACGGAAATCTTTTAACAATGTGGAAATTCCATTAGTTATTATAGCAGACTCAGCTTTTCGTTTGTCGCGCAACGTTCTTAAGCCGTTTCCATTTAATGTGGAAAGTACAGCTGCACAACGCGAATTCAACTACCGCCTTTCTCGTTGCCGCAGGGTTGTTGAAAATGCATTTGGCTATTTGAAGGCCAGATTTCGACGCATTGGAAAAGGGTTGGATAATCGTATCGATAATACAAACGCTTTAATAAAAGCGTGCTGCGTACTTCACAACTTTTTGATTTCACAGAGAGCTTATATTACCGACACCTGGCTTCCTGATCCTGGCTCCATGACTGAAGAGCAAAGTAGAGTTGTTCCACTGAACGAAAGAAGACTTAACCTAGGAGACTGCTACCGAAACGCTTTAAGCCAACACTTTGCCCAAGAGTAATTTTAAACATATTTATCTAGAAATTCATATCACATTAATTATTTTTTATTACAGCCCAATTCAGACTTCAATTTAAACATTAAATACATATATATATTATATTAATATTAAAAAAAAACAAAAAAGAATGTAAATAAATTAAATATTGAAATTCAGGTACTACCACTACTATGTACATTTAATTATTTTTGTTTAAGAACTCCATCATTTTGTTGCTAACATCTGGCTTGTTTCGCACATTGCAGCGAGGCTTTCCGTTTTTCTTTTATCGTTTTCCGCCAAGTCTTTTAAAGCGCTTTCAATGTTCTTGCAACATTTATCAATCGTAGCAGTTATCTCCTGCAAATTCGCTGTAGCTGGGTTTTGTTGCCGGCTCGAGCGCGTATGTTGCGCTGAGCTCGACGTTGATTGCTGCTCGCTATCCGAGGATGACCCTTGTGTCGAAAACGCAGGAGATATCGCAATCGGGGACATCGATGGCACCTGTGTATCCACTAAATTATAATACGAAATACATATTAAAATATAAAATTAGAGTTTATAATTTTGGTAGAAAAATAAATACAACTGAAACTTTCCTCCACAACACCTTCCACATTCATCGAACGGTAGCCGCCAACAATTTTAGCCATTTTTTCAAATAAAGGCCATGTTGGCGGCGATGCTCCGGAGGGTCCCATTTCTGCTTTCAACTTTCTGCATACACATGTTCACAAGAAAAACAACTTATAAGTAAATATTTAATATACTTATTACAGCAACTTACTTGTATTTGGAAATCAAGTTCTGCATTTTGAATTTAACCTCAATGCCAGTAACTTCTATCCCCGCCTGCGTTAACTCCACCGCCATTTCTTTGTATATGTGGGAGTTTTTTCGGCAACCCCTCAAATCCTGAGCTCTTTCTTCCCAGCAATCCAGGAAACTTTGCTCCTCCGTAAGGTTCCACTTGCGCCGTCTTGTTTCCATTTTCAGGTTTGTGTACTTTTTATTTATTTTGCGCAATCAGCTGATAGCTGCCAAAGCCACGTATATTTTTATGTTGAGGGGATCGTTTGAAATTCCACAATTGCTTTATGTTTGTTTTTTATTATATTTTTTGAAAGAGGAGGAAGCATTCTCTTCGCCAATTACTTGGTACATGCATTTGAGTTAAAACTAATGCAAAGAAATAATTTTTACACATAAAATTTCACTATGAAAAATAAAAATCTCGCTCCTCATTAAATCCGAAAATACACGACTCTGGCAAGAAATACACCGAAACTTCTGAAATGATTACATTAGTAGTGACAGCATCGAATGTTAACATAACATTTTCTGTTAAATTGCCGAAAGTGAGTTAACTCACTTTGAAAAGTGAGTTAACACACTTTTATACAACAACAAACACATGGGAATTACCGCATTTAAATGGGATGTTTAAATGCATTTAAGCTAAAATGCATTTAACGTCCGGTGGAAATAGGCTATTAGACTATTTTTTGTGGGGCTATGTTAAATCTTACGTCTACACAGACAAGCCCGCTTCAATTGACGCATTGGCAACATTTAAGCATTAATTCGTGAGATACCGGCCGAAATGTTGGAAAGAGTATGCCAAAATCGGACTAAGTGGATGGACCATTTGCGGCGCAGTCACGGTCAACATTTGCATGAAATAATAAATAATCTTCAAGCATTAAATTATATGGAATGTATTATCGACTCAAATAAAAATTTCATGCATTTTTCTTCACCTCATGTGTTTTTATTAAAAAACTTTCCTTTATATATATATATACGAATATATGTATTTATATTTTTATATAACTATATTCCTCAGTCTTCTTCGCTTAGACCGGAAATGTCAATTAATTGCACGTAAACTAAGTAAGCCACACACCCTTCAAGCAACAATACACATCTCCTATCACCTTCAAAAAAACCCTGACGGAACTGCATTTTTGGCACAAAATGTTTATTCATTGTTATCACCAGAAAGCAATAGTGAAGCGCTTAATTAACATAAATACGTTAAAAAGGTGTATTGTGTGGTTTGGTACCAATTTGTAAAATATATTGTAAATCGATTACTCATTTAAAAAATCTTTGAGGACTTAAACTACCTATGTATGTACTCGTATGTATGCACATATGTGAGCATTTGTAGTTGAATTAATATTAAATGACTAAAAACACCTGCACATGGCATTTGTAAAAATGAATTATTTTTTAACAAATATACATACATATTGTATATATTCAGATATGTATGTATGTATACATATAACTGCTGTCACTCACGACAAATGATTAAAGCCACCCTCGAAGTGGAAATGAGCGCGTTTTATGCTTATAAATGCGGCTAAATATGTTCGCAAATGTATTCTGTATGTATGTATGTAGTTGCAAATATTCATGCCAACATCATTTGTTTTAGTTCTATTTATACTTTTTCTTGTTCTTCTTCTTATTATTATTAATATCCATATATGACATAACATAAGTACTTAATTTAAATTACGCATACACGTTAAATGTGTGCTGTATTGTACCGCTTTGTTGTTGTCATTTTTTGCAACTGTTGGAATTTCTGTTTTTTGTAGTTATGTTTTTTTTTCCTTGTAAAACAATTTTTTCCTTAACTACTTACTACTCATAGTTGTCGTGTTTTAAATATTTTAATGTGATTTTTGCTTTTGTGCGAACCGATCTATTGTTATTTATTCTATATAACTACCTATATATGTACATATGTATATATGATGTGTGTTTGTTTGATGTTATGCGTGTAGTTCAGTGCTAATTTCGATTATCTCATACCGACGAGTACATGGCGTACTTACATGCTGACATAAATATATATTTATACAAATGTATTTAGTGCACGTGTATGGGTATGTGTTTTAAGATCTACATATGTATGTATGTAATTGTTATCGTCGCTATATTTTTGTTGTTTTTTTTTGTACTTTTACTGCTGTTAACACTGCTACCTGCATCGCCGCCTCACACGCTCATTCCTAGCGCTTAACCGCTTCAGTCGCGCGTCATTGTCGGGCGTGTGTGACGTTACTAATTTCCCCCCACCAGTTTTAAGTAAAAAGTAAATTTTTTTTTTGTATTTAATGCGCAACAAATGCAAAATAAAAATTTGTAATTTATTTTTGTTTTTGTTTATTTTTTTGCTATTTGTTCTTATGTGCAAAGTTGAGATTTCGTATTGTAATTTGTGGTAGTTGAAGTTTGAAGTTTTTCAGTAGTGTACGAGACGCGCTGCCAACCGTTGTGAATCGCTTTGCTCTTTTCTAGATTAAAAAAGAAAAAATAAATAAATAAAAAATAAAAACCCTGGAATCGGGAATAAGGCATATATAATAATTTAATTAATGTAGTCAAGCCGCCGAGATTTTTGGCTTTGAATTAGCGTTGGTGTGCAAAGTTTGAGAGCCACTTACTGGTGCTGTTTTGCGCCTGTGTAAATTCTCAAAGGATTTTGTGTTAAAACCATTTTAATTACAAGTGAAAAAAAAATTGAATAATAGTAAATTAACAAAAAATGATGTAAATATTGTATAATATAAACAAACAAAAAAATTAAAAAGTTACTAGTGATTAAAACTGTGAGTTTTCAAAATGATCTTCTGGCATATTATGCAAATTTAATGAATAGAAGTATTATTTTACCCAAAACATATAAATAAAAAAAAGTACACGAAACTGTTAATTTTATTGCTGCTCTACTGAAACCAGTGTGGCCGAGCTTTTTGTGAAAAAGCATAAATAATTTTTTTTCATTTAAAATATTTTAAAAATTTTAAAAGCTAAAACAGGCCTAAGTGAAATTGATACTATAGATCGATGGCCACCATAACCTAACCTAAGCTAAAACATATCTTCACTCTTAAACAAGCATAGACATTTTTCCCAGTAGTTGCTTTTGAAATTTTTGAAGAAATTGGAAAATGAATTAAAAAGGATAAGATTTGACCCTTTCAAAATAGTATAACTGCACAAAAATAAAGAAGTTTCCAATACATACATTTATATATATATATATATAAATTACACTTTGTAACCGCTGAAACGATTTTCGGGTTTTCATATAAGAGGTGTTTTTTGATATTCATTGAAAAATTACATTTTTGAGATAAATGATCAATATAAAAAAGAACTTTTCCCATTAATAATGAAAAAAAAAAAAATATTGTCACCAAATGGCCGCCACGACTGCGCTTACAGGACCATATTCTCAATTACCAAATCGCAAAGTGTTTTGCCCTCCACAGCTTCGCGAATTCCATCTTTGAGATCTTTAACCGACGTTGGCCTATTAGTACAGACCTTATCTCTCATTTATTCACAAGATCACGGTAACCCATTGCGATCACCTCCTCGAGAGATAACACGATACGGAAACTTTTCCCTTAAAAGGTCGTTGGTTTTGTTATTTGTGTGGCATGAAGAGCAGTTTTATTGAAAGGAGACCATGTTCAGTTCAATTTAAAAAATCATTAATCATCTCTCGAAAGCCAAATCAACTGTTACTCCAGCCTGATTCTCGAAAAAGCAAAGTCAAATGACGCCACCAGACCATAAAGCGCACCAAACATTTACAAGTTGAGGATGTAGAGGCTTTTCATCAATAAATCTCGGGTTCCCACAGTCGCAAATGAGACCATGCGGAGCCATAGAGGTGGATATGGGACTCAACAGTCAAGATGATTTTCGTTGAAATTCTGGAACATTTGTATGCATTTCAAGAGCCCAGTCAGCAAACAAACGACGTTGTTGCTGATCGACCAGTTTGGGTTTTACTGAACTGAACTGGTAAACTGAACTTTATAAGGCTTAATACCTATGTCCTTATGCAAAATACTGTGTAATAACGTTTAAGGAATTTCCAATTCCAAAGAACGACGAGGAGCGAACATACCTGGGGTTTGTTCAACACTTTGGGCTACAGCAGCAATATTCTCAGTTGTTCCTGAGCAAAATGAATGTATTCTTCACATCACTTACTTGTTCCAAAGCTCCATTTTTTCCACCCACTTCTGTATTGCGGTCCGACAAGGTGCTTCACGACGACTGAAAAATGTTTTAGTTTTGGGAACACTGTCTGCCGCATTTTTCCCATTTATATAGTGAATTTTAATTACTTCCATGAGTTCGTTGAAGCTTGTATCGTTCCATTTTTATTACTGGCGTAATTTTTACTTGTCAAATGTCAAAAAGTTACAGCTTTAAGGTGACATCTACCGGAAAAGCAGACTATTTAAAATAAGACCTCTTATTGGAAAACCCTTTATAATTAATGCGTGAGCCATAAATAATGAAATAGTTGAAATTCATTATTTTATATAATATTACAATTTTTTATTGTTCTAAAATAAGTTTCTAAAGTGTTTTTAAATTTAAACATTCTGGAAACAATTTCTGTTCCTCAATTTCAATTATTTCAAATTATTAGTTCAACTGATAAAAAGAAGCAAAGAGTGTTTTAATAAAAGCTTTGAACTACACTAAAAGTTAAATTTAGGAAACGAGACTGATTGATTTATAATTTTTTTTTTAATATTTTTATTTTTTTTTAAACGAGTAAAGCGTAGTGGATTTGTTAAAAAAATAAGAAATCGAAAGTGTTTATAAGAAAAGACAAACCATACAAATCCTTGGTTTAATTTAATGAAAGCTAAGATACACCTCCAAAACTATCAGTGATAAAGGACCCCTAAGAACGTAACTCAATTCGAGTATTATTGTGATTCAAACAAAAAAAAATTGTACAATATGAAGCCAACAACAAACAAGTTCGCGTTGGCCGCCTATTTTGCGCTGACTAACTGCATACTAGCAGTTCAAGCAGATCCACAACTTGACTTACCACCCATCAACCCCGACACTCAGGTACCCGAGTCATTTTACAATGCCCCCACACCTAGAACACCAACGAATCCACTGCAAGTACTCGGTGATTTCGATCGTAGTCAACGCTATGGACCACCCTACGCGGGTGATGGACTTAACGATGATGGTGCAGATGATTTTAGAGTAAGTAACGCCAAATTATTGCACGCGAATATAAGTAATTACAAAATAATTCTCTCGTTTCGACAGAATGGACAAACATATGATGAGCGCATGCGTTACGGCTATCCTTATCCTACGCGTTGGCAGAACTTCTCACGTCCCGTTGCCGATTCACCGTTTAGTGACTACAACAACAATAATTTAGATCAACAACAACAACAGCGTGATAACCAACGTTATGCCAATCATAATTATGATAATCCCAATGATCGCTTAAATAGTAACAATCGTTTTGCAGACGGTTTTGATGATCGTCAACGGGAGCGTGAACAGAATCGTTTCAATAATAATCCAAATAATGATTATAATGCACGATTTAATGGCGCTGCAGTACCAAATGGCGATCCAAATATTCCTTATGATCCAAACAACCGGTTTGCTAATGAGCGCAATCGATTTGAGAATCCTTATCGTACAAATCAAGATCGTTTCAATTTAAATAATGAACGTTATTTCGAGAGGCAACGTTTTCAGGAGGATCGTAGATATCAAATTGAATTGGAAAAATTACGTAATCTTTTGGTAGAGACGGATCAAAGGGGTTCTTTGGAATGTACAGCAAATGTGGCGGCGCAGTGGAATTTCGAGACAAATGTGAATGAGATAACACAAGCGGAAGCGGTAAGTAACACGAGTGGGGAAGTGAAAGAGAGGGAATGAGAAAATAGCTGTGATAAAATATCGTTTAGCTTTGTCGAACTTTAAGCTTACAGCTAACCAAGTGCAAGCGTTAGTGCTACCCGTTAGTAGTCCCCAAGGTCATTCTCATAAAAACCATTTGCCTTCAATGTGGTCCGTACAAAAAGTTTTTAAAAGCCTTTGGTTTTAATTTTTTTCCTTCTTTTTTCGAGAAAATCTCTCAGCACTGTAGATTGTGTGTTTTTAACTGTGATAATTTTCACATAAAAAAGTTGCATGTTTTGTTTTTATAAATTTTTTTCATTTATTTTTTAACCCAGAGGTTTTCTCACGTTCAAAGCCGTCTCACTCACCTTTATGGTTGCTTTTATTTTTTATGTACTTTATCTGTATGTTGTTGCATGTCACAGCGACAGTCTGTCGTCAAGGTTCGATGTGGCTCTAAAACGGCAAATACAACAACTTAGATATTTACATTAGCTTCCATATATGTATGTATCCGTTGGCGTGTGCCGCTAAAGATTCCATCTCGTACCTTGAAAGCTTCAATGCCATATCAAAATGTTCGCTCCTTGGCAAAAAATAAAATAGTGAAATTTATTTAAAACAATCACGTCCCAAAGCAAGGTTAAGGTCTAGTTATACCAATAGGTCTAAGATTAAAACATGATAATGTAACACTGAATGGGGAAAATTGTTTTTTAATTAAATTCAACACTCCTCCTCTGTGTAGAAGTAAAGTCATAGAATTCCACTTTAAATAAAAGTAAAGTTGAATTTACAGCGGACAAGCTTTCTTAAAAATATCGACAATTGTAAGTCTCTCTATGGAAATAATATTATATATTCATTGCATTAAAGAACAGGTGGCAAACCTTCCTGTTGTTGTGGTAATAGCAAAAATATTACTCAGAATGAATTTTGGGGAATGTAGTGGAATACAAATCCATCTTGCCTTAGACTAAGTGTCCTTTCGGTAGCAAAAAAAAACTACGTTTGAAGGCAAGCTATAGTGAGAAAGACTAATTACCCTACGTTTGGTAGGATTTGGTATCCATCAAATGAAAAATATCAATTTTTACGACGAGGGTATGTAGCTGGAATGCCCGGTCCCTTCATTGGGCAGGTGTCGTTGCCTTGCTGGATGATATCCTCGAAAGAATAAAGACTGATATCATCGCCATCCAAGAAGTGCTGATTTGCGTCCATGCTTCGACCGAAGAGAAGGACGATATGACCAAAGACGTTTTCTACCTGTATAAAATGCGCCTATGAGCGCTGCTACCGCCACGATGTGAAAGTTGTGCATGGCGACTTTAACGCGAGGTTGCGCAAGAATATAATTTTGGCACAACAGTTGAGAAACTCAGCCTCCATGACGAAGCATTCCCAAACGGACTGAGGCTGATCAAAATCGGATCGAAATTCGCGTAATCAAATCGATCATGTTGTGATCGATGGAAGGAGGAATGTCGAGCTGCAGTGGAGAGAAAAAAAGACTGCCTACCTCGCAACCTTGCGATCGATCACAACACGTGCGGGGTGGAATAGATACTGAGAGTTGGGCAGACAGAAAAAGAAAGATGCCGAAATGCGTAAGTATGAAGAGCTTGAGAAGGTGGTCGACAAAGATAACACTTGAAAATTCTACAAAAAATACGCCGACTAACATAAAGTTTTTAAAGACCGGAGCATACTTATGTGTGACCAATGTGGAACTCTGGTGACTACTGACCAAAACATAATTAGTGTATGGAGGGAACACTTCTTCAGTCTACTGAATACCAGGGAAAGCGCAACTCCTGGAGATGGCAAACTTGAAAGCTCAATAGATAATGATCGAAAAGATGTTTCTTCTTTGCACACAATAGTCGGGAGAAAGCATGTGAGACGATTGGAACTTAAGTGGGTTCGGTCGAACCCACGAGAAGAGCGATCTCACAGTCTGCGCCAATTACTGTGGAATAAGCATCCCCAACACTGCATACAAGGTCCTAGTGAGCATATTGTGTGAAAGATTAAAGACCAGCGTCAAAAAATTGATTGGACCTTATCAGTGTGGCTTGAGGACTGGTAAATCTATCATTAACCAGATATTCACCATGCGAAAAGTCTTGGTAAAGACCGGTGAAAATATGATCGACACACATCATCTCTTCATCGTCTTGAAATCCAACGCAAAATCTCCCTTGCCAACAGCTGCTTTGAACTGAGTAGGTCAATGAAAAGTAAAGTCGTCTCGTGACGAACAAAGACCAAATTCTAAAAGTCGTTCATCATTCTCGTTCTGCATAGGAGGCATAGACGATGACAAAATCTGATGAGATGGCGTTAGAAGTTTTCGAGAGAAATGTTTTGTGTAAGATTTATGGTCCTCGACGAGTTGGTAACGGCGAATTCCACAGCCGATGGAGTGAAGAGCAGCACGAGATATACGGCGAATAACGAAACTGCTGCTATGCTGGCCAGGTCATGTGGTCCGGATGGATAAGAAGGCTACAGCTTTGAAAGTTTTCATAGCAGTACCCACATAAGAAAAGAAAGGAGGGCCTCTCCATTCCATATGCAGGTTAAGGTGGAGATGGACATGGCAATACAGGGTACTTCCAATTGTTAATTCGGCTATAATCGCATCAGCTGTGACTACGCTAGTAAAGAGGAATAAGAGGAACTCTTTAATAGAAGGCAGCTCTTCTTAATATATAGCCAACCTTTTGAGTCCTACTTAGTATGATATCTTTAAATTTTTTTTCAAGTAAACATTTTAATTCAATAAATATGTCATAAACATATTTTCAACTGAATTTTAAGCACCTGACAATCCTGAAAACTATTTAAAACAATTTTTGAATATTTTGTTATTTTTATTTATATGCTTATAATTGATTTCATATTTTTTAAAACTATTTTATCCATATTTGCCAAAGCTCAATACTCAACAACATTATGTTGACTTCCTACGTTTGGTCGCAGAACAATCAAAAACCATAAATAAGGATCTAATACTCGATCGTCGTCTCTATCGGCAATTGATGTTACAATCTGAGGCTGGACCCAATGCATTGCCCATAGAAACATTGGATCGTGTAAGTTTTCCCAAGAAAGCTTCATAAGCTGAATAACAGTTGTTATTTAATAATCCTCTCTCTTCCCTAGTACAATCGCTTGATCAATGAAATGTTGTACATCTACAACGAGGCAACCATTTGCGCCTATCAGCAGCCCTTTGTTTGCAATCTGCGCTATATACCCGAACTGAAGGAGATAATGTCGAAAAGTCGGGATTGGGATGAGCTACAGCATACGTGGGTGGAGTATCATCGTAAGGCTGGACGTGAAATGCGTGATGGCTACGAGCAATTGGTGGACGTGATGGCTGAAGTAGCTTATGTGAATAGTAAGTAGTTATGAAATGCTTTGAATGAATATATTTACTAATCCATTTTGCTTTACCTTTCTAGATGTCACCAATGGAGGTGAATTCTGGTATCTACCCTATGAGTCGGCGAACTTCAGACAGGATGTTGAAAATGTTTGGGAACAAATACGCCCACTTTACGAGCTTTTGCACTCTTATGTACGTCGCAAGTTGCGCGATTATTACGGACCCAATCGTATCAATCGAATTGCACCAATACCCTCACATATACTCGGAAATATGTATGCACAATCGTGGACGAACATTTTAGATATTGTCATACCATATCCCGGCCGCAAATTAGTCGATGTTACGCCACGCATGATTGAACAAGGTTATACGCCCGTGTTAATGTTTCGCTTGGCTGAAGAGTTTTTCACTTCAATCAATATGTCCGCTGTGGGTCCGGATTTCTATCGTAACTCGTTGTTGGAGCAACCAGTGGATGGACGACGTGTGTTTTGTGAGCCCTCCGCATGGGATTTCTGCAATCGTCACGATTTTCGCGTTAAAGTTTGCTCGGAGATTAGTCAGAAGGGCTTGCTGAGTGCACATCACGAGATGGCGCATATTCAGTACTTCTTACAATATCGCCATTTGCCGAAGGTGTTTCGTAATGGTGCCAATCCAGCTTTTCATCAGGCAATCGGCGATGCCATAATGTTATCAATATCGACTTCCAAACATTTTCAAACGATTGGTTTGTTGCAACGCTCAGTAGATGAGTCGAGTTACGACATAAACTACCTCATCACTATGGCATTGGATAAGGTGAGTGATGTCGGGGAGTAAATAAAAAAATTGTTTTCAATATTTTCTCATTTAGGTGGCATTTTTGCCCTACGCTTTGGCTCTGGATAATTGGCGTTACGATGTCTTCAGCGGAAATACAAATAAACATATGATGAACTGCCACTTCTGGAATCTTAGGTTGGTTTGCAAATTTTTATGTTCATTTTTTTCACATTTTATTATAATTTTAATTTTTTTCAGAGAACGTTATGGTGGTATTAAACCACCAGTACTGCGCTCCGAAAAAGATTTCGATTTGGGCGCGAAATATCACGTACCTGCGAATATACCATATATTAAGTGAGTAATATGATTTAAGTTATATACGTGTATTTGCAGGAAAAAAGTTTAACCGCAACTATACGCGGAATGTCTGAGGACACGGCAAAACTTTTGTTGAAGTGCTAGAAAGACAAATAGCAAAAGAGCAATGAAAAAGTCCATCAGTTTTTATGAATTCGGCTTTGAAATACCAAAATATGGATTACTTTGTTACTTGCAAAAGAAACAAAAAAACCTTTGAAACAGTAGTAGAAGAATTATTTTTTTTTTTTTTCAAAAAGTACGGGTATTTACTTTTTCAATATGGCAAATAGTATTTTTAAATTCGCAAAAGTCGTGAGTTTCCACACTCTTCGAACTGATGCAACTTTTAAATTTTTCCCTAAAAGCTGCTATTATTAATCAACTGAATCAAATTACAATAATAGCTAAATCGATTGAGAAGGAGCTGACAATTTTTTTTCATGATATTTACGAGAGGAACATAACTCCTTGCATATCTTTAGGCACCGCTTAATTGCGTCCTGCCATTTGAGGTTTTGCTTACTGAAAAAATGCAATTCTCAAATGATCAGTGAAATGATGCTGCTTAAGTGCTTTTTCTTTGCAGTTGAATATACCATCTCGTGGTCCAGATCAGATATCAGATAATCTGATTTGCTTGCGTCCTCCCATCCCGGTATGCGATTGGTGTCTGCGCAAATACGTTAATTAGGAAATTGAACAGCACAAGCTGCAGTGTGGTGGCATACGCTTACGACTTTGACCTAGCAGTGACAGGCAAACACTCACAATCTGTAAGCGATCTACTCCAAAATACTACTTAGTTAGGAATCGGTGTAAGGACAGCGGACTGTGTGCTAATCCAGATAAAACCGAAATGGTTCTACTTACCAGGAGGTAAAAGCCGCCTCCTTTAAAGCCACCCAAACTAAAGGGCGCGGAGACCACCTTATAATCTTAGGCGATCGCGGTAGCTGAGTGGTTAGCACTGCGTATTGCCATTCGGAAGGCCAGGGTTCAAATCCTGGTAAGACTAACATCCAAGAGTTATAGAAAATGAAGTCAAGTTTTCTAATTGCGATAGCAGGGAATGTCAACCCTTCTGAGTATACTTCTGACATGAAATAATATATATACATATAATCTTAGATATAAAGTTCAAATGGAGCCGGAACACGTCAAAAAGGCCAAGGAAAGCAATAACTGCAGTTTACACTTGCAAAACGATGATAGGAAAAAGATGGGGTTAAAGACCGAATAACGTGTACCGGATTAAACATCAATAGTTAGACCAATCCTATTCTACGTCATCACAGTATGGTGGCCGACACTCCAGAAAATGTTTTTCAGGAGCATATGGGAGAGAGTTCAACGATCGGCTGCTTTACTGGTAACAGGATCGCTGCCATCAGATCTCCGAAAAGTACTGCTAACTTCTATCAACTCCCTCCTTCCCTGTACCTGTACGGCAAATTATAAATTGCAACACAATTAGATTGAGTGCAAATCCACTTTGGAAAAAATGCCGTTTTCGGTGCGCTAAAATATTATCATTTGCAGAAGTACCGAAGCAGCTGGACTACACAAGCTGAATGTATGCTTCGACGATACTTTCTCCACGAAGACCCCAAACAGAAACGACTAGGAAAACACCAACGCCCTCGATCAGAGATTCATAACTATCTTTACCGACGGCTCAAAGCTCGATTGAAAAGTGGGTTGCGGAATATACTATCCAATGCTCTCAGTAAATATGAGACCACCAGACTACTATGGCGTCTTCCAAGCAGATCTCAAGAATATACGCCAGGAGGGCAATCAGTTAAGATCTATTCCGACAGTCAAACCGTCATCACATCTCTACAATGTAACAGTAGCACATCAAAAGCAGTTATAAATTGTGGAAGGAATCTAGCCGTAGAACACGTACCCGGACACATTGAAATCTCAGGTAACTGCATGACAGACGAACTGGCGAGAGAAAGAACCCTTCTATCTACAATAAAACATGCAAACGCGGCATGTTTACTTTTGTCCACGGCAAAGCGTTTGCCAAAGTCGCAAACTCTAGATGTCTGAATGAGATTACGTGCAACGTGATCAGTCAGATATGACCAAAGTTTGTCGTGGAAAAATCGACCCTTCTGGACCGGTACTCCATTAAAATAACCACAGCTATAAGACAAATTACTGTTGAATGGAGCTTAACGGGAAAAGGATGGGCTACCACTTTAAAGATTTTTGCGCAGCTGTAGCGACAAAGAAGAATATCACTTCTGCCTCTGTCCAGCCTTGACATCTGCGCGACATGATTTCCTCGGGCAGCACTTCTTCGTCTAAACAAGCCTCAGCGAAAATTGGAAATCTCGTTACCTTTTAAAGCCCACGTGATGGTTCGATGATTTCAGAACGTCAAGATCGGCCTATTGGTTTGAGTGCGATGCAACTCAACTCACCTCAGCGTCAGATGCTTCATATGGCATTGGTTAATGACCATTTTTTGCAACGAGTTTAGCGCTCAATCTGAATACATCAATTGTTAGAGTTAGATATTTAAGATATCTTTCTGGGACTCAGTCTAGCTTTCGGGGGCCAGGATTCGTCTCTAAGATCTTACGCATGTCTTTACACACACTGCTGATCGCTCGGCTATTGTGAAAAAATGAGGCACAATTTGCAACAATTTGGTCGCTGCTGCTGGAAGCTGCGTTTTATAACAACATACGGTGCAGTCTTTTTTTGCACTAGAGAAATGAGCAGAATAAGTCCTTGACTATATAGCCGTGGACGTCAAAAACTTCAACCTAAGCTTCATTTCCAAGCCGGCCATTATTTATGTGGATGCTACTCCGTTAGTTACATACTATATTTTTATGTATTACCCGAACCTAATTGGCAGCTTTGATCTACTTTGGAAATTACGGACTGCTTGTTACGTAATTAAATCCAATTTTATGTGACATTCATAGCTTGCTATTGGTAGGTTAGTTGTCTGACATCTATGCGCCACTTTTTTTTTGCCTACCCTTGAAATGAAATTCAAGCCTTGCATGCTTCTCACATTTCTTCAACTACTTTTGCTTTCAATGATTTTACTTTTCCCTCACTTTTGCCTCTCTCTCTTTTATTGCTTCCACTCTTTTGCATAAATCATTGTATTTTCCACTTAACACGTCGTTGCGTATGAAATTGAAAGTTGAAAAATACCAGCTGCTGTATACATGCACATATATAAATCATATGTAATCTGAGTGCTTTTGTTTGGCTTTCTTTACTTTACTCTCGCATACAAAGAAGGTTCACTGTTTAAATTTTCCTGAATGTCTGGCTTTGTTTTACTTATACCTTTTACCTGAGTTTTACTTAAATTTAATCTATGTACTTTGGGCGAATAATACATACTTATATATGTATATATATATATGTATATATGTATATGAACATTACTATTTTTAACTTTCCATCTGTTGCCAGTGCTGCCAAAGCTTTGGTTTTACTTTGACCCAGTAAACTGATTTTCAATCTACTTTGCTCGTAAACAGTTGGATATCCACAACAACTACATCAACAACAACTATTACGAATACGACTAAATTATTTTACATCTGTATTGATAGATCGTGCGGTTATATTGAGTTTGAGTATGTTTTTATGGCGACATTGGACAATGTCTGTTTATATTCAAAGTTGGAGAAGGCTTTTAAGCTGAGTAAAAGGCGGGCGTAATATGAGAAGTTTAGTTGAAAAATGCATATACAATATCAGTAAGTGTCGACACACCCATTATTAAGTTGGTTGGCTGATGTCATTGTGTACTGCAATTAATAGCAAGACTACAACCCGATCTTTTGCTATAACAAGTATATGCGTAGCGTCATGTATAAAATGTATTTGTTGTACATATAGATGGGCTAATAAATACTTTGGTCTAATGCTACTCAGCTGAAAATGATTTTATCCACGTTTTCTTTCATTACATTTGAATGAGCGCACCCGGCGTATATTCCCTCGCTCAAATTTAACGCCTCCAGACTAAGTGCACAGTGAAAATAAAGGACATAGTTCAAATTTGAATGTAAATCAATATAATTTCTGCAAAATCAGTGGAGTGCGAAATGGTTGCGATTAGTTTTTCAATGTTTGTTCGTCTAATAGGATTCACTTGTCAAGAGAATTGACCACCAGCTCTATTCTGAGCACTTGATAAATTAATATAATTAACAAAATATTGATAATTTATCAAGAATTTTATCAAGCAATAATTTATTTATTATTCTGTGTCAATCTACATAAAACATAATGCTTCAGTTTGTTGTGTTTTTCCACACACATGTGGAGAACAATGAAATGTAAACAGAAATCAGCTGTTTTTGGTAGCAATAAATAAACAAATATTTAAGAGAACTAAGTAGTATATTTGGAAAGTCAAATGTGTAAATGATTATATTTTGATAATTTAATAAATATAGCGATGGAAAATATCTGGAGTTTGTTTTTTCACCTTCACGTATATGCTGTCAAGTGTATAATGCAAAACTCGGTGCTTCAGCGAACATTTAAAACGCTATTATAAAACACCAAACGCTTCTCCTATACAACTTCCGACAGCATCATGTAGTTTGTTGTACTTAAGCTCTTTAGAAGCCACGGCTCTGGAGGATAACTTTGATCGCAAATAAGGCAGGACTCGCTCCGCTGTTGTACGGACAAATCAGTGCGCGGTATGTGCCATACCCAGGGATATTAAAAGCGATCTTATGATTGAGGTTTTTTGGATATCATGTGAGGCCAGTTCATCTATGAGATGACGGCAAATTTTGCAAGTCAAAAGAAAATTTTAAGAACATGTGCTAAGACTTAATAAAAATGGAAATAAAAGCGCCTCTTCTTCTTAAGTGACGCGAGCGATCCCTATTTTCGCAATTTTTCTCTTCGCCTAGCAACAACAATTAAGTGAAATATGTATTTTCCATTCTAAAAATATATTATTCACAACTATGCACAAACAGAAAAAA